TCAAAGACCACACACCGATAAAACTGACTCATAAACATAGGACATTTCCGCTTAACTTGCATCTGAACCAAAACTGATGCACCGCAAAATTTGGAAGGGACCCCTTCCAAATTTTTGCAAAGAAAAAATAAAGAAACTTTTTCTAGGTAATAGAAAAAGACACATAAAGATACGCCAAAAATAGACAATAAAACTAAAAACAACAACTTCCGATTAATATAAAATGATTACAGACGCTTCAAACTCTAGACACTTACAACGACGGCATAAAGACAAACACAACAAGCATCCTAAAGAAGCTTTGCCATGAGAAGAAGAATACAAGGTGGGGTAGCATACTTGCGGTGAGAAAAAGAGGTTAGAAGCCAAAGACAAGAGTGAGATGATGAGACATCCTTCAGCGATTTTGACACATGTACCATCAGGAGACCTGGAGATCAACGGCCTACGATCATGAGTTGTATTTTTAGTCATTTTTGTAGTAGTTTATTTTTATATTTTATACTTTTTTCATTTTTTCCCTAATGCGGCATCTTTGGTCGCTATTGTAGCCCAGGAGGGCCATTTTAGTCTTTGTTTCCTGTTGTCATATTTGAGACCTAATATTATGGCCCTTTCTTAATGTGAATAGTAGTTTTGATGAAATGAAAATTTAACCACTTTATGTTCTTTTTGTGACGTTCACCTCCCCGATCTCTTAGTTGGAGTTCGTTAGGAAGAAACTGATCTCTTTGGGGAGTTCTAGGTTTTTCTGTCTTTCTCTTTTTCTTTAGTTATCTTTCTTTAGATCAAAAATTCGTTGTTGTGGAGATTTGGATTAAAGTCACTAGTGGAGATTTGGAGTTTCATCGCTTTGGATTCCACCGAGAATTTCCCCCACAATCTCCCTTTCCTTGCTCACTGCCGCCGTCCTCCTGGACGTCAGACTGCCAGTCAGCAGCCCCTTCCCCCCCCCCCCCTAGCCCGCCACCTCAGCATCCACCTTGCCGCCAGCTCCCCTCCTTGACCCCAAGCCTGTTTGAATTTCAAATCCCCCTAATTAAGTCAATTTTCCTAATTAGTCTCATCTATTTAGGAGAAGCATTTAAGGGGATTAATGCTTCCTTTGAAATTCAAATTCTATTCAACCTCTTAATACGATCAAATTTTGAGAGTTACTTAAGAGATAATCAAATCTGAAATTATAATTTCAGATTTGATTAGGAATTAATTAATTCAAACTGTGGGCCCCTCCCTTTTAATTCCAATGCCTCAATCTCTCTTGACTCTATGGCTGGCCACCCTTACCACATCTAAATCCTCTCTCCAATTACATTAATTGCCTCCCATTAATTCCCTAATCCTTCACTAAACCACGATCCCCTTCCTTTGGAAAATTGAATTTAATTTTCAAATTAGTTTCTCCCTCCCCTCCACTTTCTCCTCACCACGAATGACAATTTCAGAAATTTGAAATAATTGCTTTTTTTTTTTTTCCCCTTCTAGAAGCTTTTCTCTCCTAGCCCGAGCTCCACTCTGGCCTTGGCTTGATTTCTCCAACCAAATCCCCTCCAACTTTAGAAATCTGACATTAATTCCAGATTTGGTAATCGTTGCCTTTTCTCGTGGCCTCTCAACCGGCCACCCCTTTCCACATCTTGGGTACCTCAGTCAATCCCTTGGCGAGGAGCCAATGGCGGAACCGAATAGAACTTTGGATTTGTGCATGACGATCGAGATCTAAGTTGAGCATCCTCCAATCACCGTTCTTTGACGTGGGCTTTGACCTTTCGACGACACCATCGAAGATTACATCGACCGTATCCATTACACTTAGTTTGACGTGATTCGACGAGCAAAGTCAAAGGATGTTGGATCACATGGTACGGAACCATCATTCCTCCACTCACCTCCCGCCACCTATCCAAGACGACGATCTAGGTTTCCTTCTTCCTCTGAGCGACCCGATTCTAATGTAGGAGACTCTTCTTCGCTAAAAGCCTAGACTACTTGAGCGTACGGGCTCCAAAGGTGAGAGTTTTCATTATTAAAATAGTGGATTCTTGTTCATCGTCGTAGCTTTACAATTGATCTTGCGTTTTCTTAAATTGCTTTTGGGTAATCGCTTCGCTCTTCTTTGCCTAAACAAGTTAAAACTAAGAACTCAAGGATCAATCTTGTTTAAGTAGTAACTTTATTTTGGGATTATTTTGTCTAAATTACTCTCTTTAATTTCTAAATAACCCCGCTTTTGTTTCACACATCAGGAGAAGCTCGCAAGGCTTCCTAGAAGAAGTGATGGAACGAAGTCGCCAAGCTTTCTAACAAAACCCGGCAGGTTTACATCTCCACAAATAACTCACATAACCATTCTAAACATTCCAAAAACAACTCCATATGTATAAGTCCAAAGAGGGCAGCCAAACAGCCCTTTTAAAAACCACTAAATAATCTCATTAAAATAGGAAATATATCAAAGGTCTAAGTCACCAAATAGAAAAACCAAAGACAGCAGGAATTTTGCCAGGAAAATGCATAAGAAACAGTGGAAGACTCATGGAAATCACCAAAACAGCCACCAAACAGCAGCCCTCAAAACAGCCATCAATGAGCGCTCAAGCTTGGCTGTCCAAAACCAGAAGCCAAACAGCGCCAAAACAGCAGCTGAAAAGGCCAGAAAAACGCTTGCTGATTTTCTGCACAGAAAACAGATTAAACTCCATGCGGAAACCCCCCCCCCCCAAACAACTACAGAAATCGAAGCCAGCAAGGGGCCCGAAAACAGCACAGGAATAACAGGGGTTAAGCACCGGGAAAAACAGCCAACCAGCGTGGGAACCAAAGAGGCCAAGCACGGGAAAACCAGCCAGCCATTCACGGGAACCAAAGGGCCAAGCACGGAGAAAACAGGCCAGCACAAGAAAACGAATAGAACAAAGGGGAGGAGAGAGAGACACAAGTGGGAGAAACCAAAGAGACACAAGAAGAAACCAAAGAAGCAAAGGAAAGGGAATTGATCTATAAATCTTCAACTTTATAAGCTTAAGGACACTTACTAGATATTAATGAAGAGCTAACATCTAGTAGAGGAAAGCATTTATGAGCTGAAACATAAGAAGAGGCCTCATTTAATGAGCTGGCTCAAGTAGAACTTACAAAAATTTCAACTCAACTTACAAGAAGAAACAAAGAGAAGAAAAGGGGGAATGATCTAATAAATCTTCAATTTATGAGCTTAAAGCACTCGTAACTATATTAATGAGCTGATCTATGTAGAGGAAAGCATTTATGAGCTGAAACATAAGAAGAGGCTCTTAATGAGCTAGCTCCAAGTAGAACTTACAAAAATTTCACTCAACTTGTTTTTAACACCCCCCCCCCTGTCTAACAATCAGCCTCCTAGTTAACTACCCTATCCAGTAAGGGATGAAAACTCTCAATTAAGTCTGCAGTTGATTTAAAATTTCAAAATTTTAACTCATCAGAAGAATGAAAATCGTGTCGATTAAGATGACGCAACTTGATGATCTGAGTAGTTTTTCCTATTTGATTGGTTGTTTATTTCTAAATTATGCATTATTAGTTTATTGGTGTGAACATGCCTATGATAAATATCCCATAGAGAAAAGTGTTCTTTGAATGTCTGTTTTAGTTTAGTTTGCATCTCTCTCTTCAATTCAACCATTAGTTATTTTCTCGGAATAGCTCTTTCCAAATCCTCCTCTCTTTTTATAATTATACACAAGCAACAATCTCTCTACCAAATCCCCCAACTTTCTCACCTACTCCTATACTTTTCTCTCTCTACAAGTTCTATCAGATACTTATTTCTCTCTCTGACTTTCTTTCATCATAAAGCAACTCAATTCAACCATTAGTTATTTTCTCGGAATAGCTCTTTCCAAATCCTCCTCTCTTTTTATAATTATACACAAGCAACAATCTCTCTACCAAATCCCCCAACTTTCTCACCTACTCCTATACTTTTCTCTCTCTACAAGTTCTATCAGATACTTATTTCTCTCTCTGACTTTCTTTCATCATAAAGCAACTAATATTGCCTCCTCTCTCACAGTATCGCCCTTCTACAACCATCTAGTTCATTCATTTGCTATTCCAATGAAACACCAACGTTACTCTCTCTTTCTCAATTCTCTACCACTCAACTTCTCTTTCAACGTCTTCTAAAACTGTCAAAATCATGTAAGAAATTGAAGTATCCTTTTGATTTCAATCCCTATGATGACTCAGTGACTCAAAGTTAAGAGTAGTTCTAAAGCAATCTAAAAAATGTAATATATTAGTGGATAAAGTATTAAAGTGGTACATACTACATATATTTAAAAGGTTGTGGTATTGAATATGTAATATAAACTACCTTGAACAATATATCAGTAATATGCTTTTCTATAACTTGCCATCCCATGTATAGAGCATATCTGGAATACAGGTTACGTTACTGCAACTATGATCTATATTTCATGGGTTCGTATCATGGAAACACCCTTTTGGCAATGCAAGGTTAAGGTTGCAGACATAACCCCTCCCCAAATACACATTAGGAGGAAGTCTCATGCAAAGGTTATACCCTTTCTTTTTATTATGATCGCATATTATGTGTGTCCATGTTTTTTCAATCATTATCCCCAAATGTCTAGCAGGCAATAGGAACGATGTTGCATACGTTAATATAACACTTCACACACATTATTGAAATCAGAACAAGAAACACCTTTTTTCTTATAAAAAAATAGATTTGTAAACTTCCGAATGGCAAAAATGGCAAGGCAAATGAGCAGCTTTGGAATGGAAGCAAGCTAAAATTAGCTAGAAAGACATCATAGGAGCATCGATTATAAAAATATGAACAGATGAGGAGGAACTTTGCGTCAAAACCATCGCAGCATAATAATTAGTCAAAAATTATATTGTTGAAATGATCTTCCTTCTTTTTCAGTTATTTCCCAGTTGATGGTTAATCTCTACGAAACCTGTGAAATTATATAGACCATAAGACTAACCAGAAAAAGGAGGAACACCCAATTCGACTCCCATATGAGCAAGCACATTCTGTATTTTACTCTTGCTGAGCTTTCCGGTATCATTTGTATCCAGATCAGTAAAAACATTCTCAGCTACCATAGCAAAATCATCCTCATCATCCAAAACGACTCGAAGCCCACTCCCATCCAAGATCGAAACAACAAGTGGGTCATCTGAAAATAAAAAATATGAGGAAATCTTCAGCTAAGCAGGATCATCCAAAGTCCACGTTCGAAAAAAGCAGGTCACTCACCTACTTTTCACAAGTTACAACATGATGCAAAATTAACAAACAGATTCAAGATAAGATATATGGTGACAAGTGGAGATGATGTACATATCTAATTATAGATATCATTAGAACCTATCACTATAACTGAAACGTCTAGCTTTAATATAGTTGCCCAGAGAGAAACTTCATATTAATCACGATAATACATCTTACAAATCAGTTTACTGGCTGAATGTAGAATCAGGAATAGGCATTTATTTTAGGAACTACGGAAGCAGCTTCCCAACTAGAAAAGGAATAGGTTGTCTATTTCTATCCATTCCGATGTTCAATCAAGTTCCTTAAATAACTAACCCACATTCCGCATAGAAAATTGATGAGCTTGTTCCAGCATTGAAAAGCTTAAATCTAAAAATTCAATAAATGAAAGAAGACATAGCAAGAAACCAATGATATATATGAGAACATCATCTTAACACAAAATGGTAAAAAGCTTGAAAGAGGTCGGATCATTAAGGGCTTAGAATCCTACAACTCTTGCTTTGATTTCATGACAATATATATTAATGTTGACCTACATATTGACCGTAGACCTGAAACCAGCCCACGACTCAATCGACCGGCCTCACCCCCACGATCCCATTCCTCACGAGCTCATATGCACGCAAGGAAGTTCCATGATTTACTCTGCCTCTCGATCGTCTTCTTCAGCCACAAGCAAAGCTGAGCCCAACATCCTCAGTGCCAACCTCCCCCAGCCACCTGTGAGCCTGACGCCCTCTGTCGAGCAAGCCAAGCCAAAACCCCTCACCTCCGCTTCTGACCTCCCCGCCCGCCTCCGACCCGATTCCATCTTCCTCTTCTCTCTGTTTATTATAATATATAATAACAAAAGAGAAGAAGAAGAATTTTCAAATAGATACCGCAATGAGGATCGTCGAAGACCTATTGATGTAGAATGGAGCTAGAAATTTGAAATTAATTCCTTCGAGTTTCCCTCTCTTTCGCTCCTGTAGTGGGGTTATGATAGGAAACACTTGTAGATCTCAAGTATTTCCTATCAATCTTCGGAGCGAGAATTCTTCACAAAATTCCGCATAAAATCACAAAAATAGTAGATAATTTGTATTATTTGATGAAAGGAACACGGAAAATAGCAAGATACACTTGATCCTCAATTCGAGAGGAGGATCGATCTCTCCCAAATCTCTAGACGCGGCTAGAGCCCAAAGAAAACCTAAATCTAAGAGATCTCAAATTTCAGCCAAATTCATGATGCCCTCACCCTAGGAAAACAAACTATTTAATGCATACAATTCAAAAGGAATTCCCTAAACAATCCCTACATTCAAATTTCCCTCTTAATTCCCCCAATATTCTTTCCTATTTGGCTCCCGCTCCAGCGGGCAGAAAAATTCTGCCCTGTTCGCGTCTAGGCCGGTCCCACGTGGACAGGTTGGACCGGTCCACTAGACCGGTCTAACAGGGACCGGTCTAACAAGTTAGCAGGAGAACAACTTTAGCAATCCTAGAGATGCCACCGAAAGAACGAGGATGCCTACGGTCATGATCCACGGAAAGTTAGCCGGAGGGGAAGACACCGGTAGATGTCCGATGATTTGGCAATGTCTGGAGAGTAGATGTTCTTCGATAGGTGTCAGGGTGAAGAGGATGTGGTCGACGTATCAGTCGACGGTGTCGTCAACTTCTAGTTGAGATCGAAGAACGGAGATTGTAAAATATCCACTAAACCTTGCTGGTCGTAGACGAATCTGTGGTCACGCTCGGGATCCGCCATCCATGGGGGAAAGGAGATCCAACTGTATAGTATATTCCTTTTCGGATTGTTGGTTTAGCAAGGGAATCAAAAATAATGGAGAGGGAGGATGGTAGGCTCGACCAAGGCTAGGGAAAGGAGATCCCTTCAGGTTTTAGATGTTAGGTGTTGGGTAAGGGAGGGGAAGGGATTAAAAGGGAAATTCTGAAATTAAATTTCAGATTCCCTATGATTGAAGGATTTGAATTTTAAAATTCAAACAATGAGGGAAGATGAGGGGCTAATTATCTCCTTAATTGGAGTTCTTAATTTAGGAAGGAAATAATTAGACTAAAGGGGAGAGAGGGGGATATAGGGAAAGGGGACGGCGGCTTCATGATGGGAGGGGAGGAGCTTGGAGGAAAGAAATCAAGGCTTACTTGATTTGGAATCTTAAATTAGGAAGAATTAATTTAATTTCAATCTAATTTAAAATTCAAATATGATTGATTTTGGAAACAGTCCTAAAATAGATATTCCTATTTTACGAACAAATTCAAATTCAAATTTCTTTGAATATGAATCATAAATTGTTTCCAAAATAGAAATCTAAAATAGGCAAGACTTGGAAGGCAAGATTTGATTGACGGGGCTAAGGAAAAAGGGAGGCGCGGTGGGTAGAGGGAGAGGGAGGACTTGGGGGAATTAATCCTTTGATTTGGGCCCAGGTTTGAAAGGAAAATAATGGAGGGAGGAAGCATGGGACTGGCCAAGAGAGAGGAGGGGGGAGGTGGCCGGCAGTTGGGTTGGGGTAGGGTGCCTCTTGGTCAAGAGGAGGGAGGAGGGGTGGGTGGTTGGTGGCGGTTTGGGGAGGGAAGGGAGGGTTGGCCGGTGGGGGGAAGGAGGGGAAGTGGGGTCTTGGGTCGGCGGCTAGGAGAGGGAGTTTGGTCGGTGGCCAATGGAGAAGGAGACGGGGAGTTTAGAGAAAGAAAGATAAATTATGAGTCCGGACACTTCCTGCGACTGATGGGTGCTACGTTGCCCTCACCTAGGGACTTCAAACCAAGAGCTCGGACACTTCCTACAGCTGGTGGGTATTTCGTTGCACTCACATGGGGACTTCCACTCTCCTAAGAACTCTCATAGCCCTCAAGAACAAAGTGCATAAAATTTTCTTCTTAATAATCCATTAACCATTACAAGAAAGGAGGAGATCACCTATACCGGGACCAATCAACATCCCAAAGCCCTAAGCTGTTGAATCCTATCCAGTTGGGTGGATTTGAAAGGGCAAGTGCCCTCGCTACCTCCCTTCGCGGGGAGGGGATGCTAGGAGGTTGCCGAAATTTTGAACAAAACAAAGAACCCCCACACTTAATAATAATAATAATAAATAATAATAACACTTAACTAAGCAAAAGTATTGTCATAAGGACATTCTGGAAACTACAACTAATTGAACATCTTTAAACCAAGATGTCAATTCATGTACTAAAGTTAATCACGTTGTTGACTAACAATTGAAGGATAAAATTTCTCATATTCATAAATTTGTTCTGTCATTGATTAAAAATGCTATAGAAATTCAAAATAGTTTTGATGAACTCATTGATCTTGGTAAAAAATTTGATGAGCTTTCTGTCTCTGTAGACAGGATAATGTGTATAGAAGTATGCTTATATGATTTCATTCTAGGCTTCTAGCTCTATCGCATATACTATGTAAAACCATTAATCTCGGGTATAAAATTCAGAAAGTGAAGGAAAATGAAGAAAAAGTAATAATTCAAATTGCATAGCCAAAGAAAATATTATTAAAGAATAATGTGACTCAGCATAGTCCAATGAAAGAAAGCCTATCAGGATCTTCTTAGGTGGTTCATGATTCATCCTTCAATATAGAATTTGAAGAGTTCATTGGCATTGGATTTAAAATAAAGAACGCAATACTATTGTTCTCTCAGGTTTAATTTTGAGCACTTAAAACTAGAGAAAGAGAATATGGAAGTGGTGTGGGCTCCAAAAATTCACGCCCCTGCCTCACCTCTTTCGGGAGAGTTTTAATGAATTAAGTTACGGGATAAATTTTTAAAAGGCAGATTGGGTTTGAAATAAGACACCACCCAGAGCTTTCGCCCTCATTTTGGAGGACTTTAGATATGAGTTTTTGTTTCCTATAGGCGCAAGCCCTTATAGTTAATTATCCCTCCCCATAACGAGAGAGAATTTTGATTAAGGCCATCCGTCAAACATATACGAAGTATATGGCGTATAGTTGCAGTAAGTTTGATATTTGGAAATTTAATATTTAAAATTTCACAATATTGCACTTAAAGCGAATGGTGGGGGAGGTGATGATGGACCCGATCAAGATCCCATGGCTTCATCATCCCGGGCCATCATGGTCCCTGGTCTACTTAGTCAAAGGAGGTAGTCGACCCAACCTAACAGAAGAATCTTTGTCGGCAGCCATGGGTTGCTTCGTCCAAGG